ATTCACATAACATGTAAATGTAGTCTTTAAAAACAAACATTCCTGGCAAGGCTAAAGCCTACTCTGACTACTAGGGCCTTCATTTCTAGAAACAGAACTTTGTCATATCTTGGCCTGAGCAAGCATATTTTATTTATTTATTTTGAAAAACTTGTTTTTTTTCCCATTATCTGGGTGTGAACTTGTGATTCTCCTTTTTAGCCTCCCTAGTAGCTGGGATTACAGGCACATGTCATGGCACCTGGCAAAGGGTATTTTAAGAAGGGGTTCCTTGCAATATGAACTTAGTGTTTTCCTCTGGGAACATATTTTCCCTCACCATAGAGCTGGTGGTGTGGGAGGGATAAGTTCAATTTACCTTTCCATCAGCTAGAACAAATGATTTATGAACTTCAGCCAGTCCTTTAAGAATCTACAAAATAGGGAGTAGTCCATTTGTCATGTGACTGAGCTTGGCTTTTCCTTGTCTGAAGGGACAAGTAGTTCTCCCTGGGCATTCGTATTTGTGTGTGCAGAGAACAGCAAGAGAGGAACAGGGAAGAACTCTGACTCTTTGGATTCTTGTTGACTCTTGGCAAAAATCACACTCCTTCCATTCTGGTTAACAGTGAATGTGGGAGCCAGGAGTAGTGGGGCAACCCTGTAACCCCAATGGCTTAGGAGGCTGAGGCAGAAGAATTACAAGTTCAAAGGCAGCCTTGGTAACTGAGCAAGTCCCTAAGCAACTCACGGAGATCCTGTCTCCAATTAAAACATACAAAAGGGCTGAGGATGTGGCTCCATGGTTAAGCACCCCTAGATTCAATTCCTAGTACCAAAAAACAAAACAAAACAAAACCCAATAACTGTGGGTCCCATAAGTTCTTTCTCAGCAGATCTAACTAATAGAAGACTGCAAAGATTCTTCTGTTCAGAACTCTTATAAAAGGAAGTGTGATGTGGTTAGAGCTTGGGGTCTAGAGTGTGACAGGCTTCATGTTTTCACCCTGTCACTCATAGTCTTGAGACCTTGGGAAAGGACCTTCTCTCCTCTGACCTTGTCTGTAAGTTAGGGGTTGGTGTGAGGATCAAATTCAATTAGTGTTTGCAAAAGCATAATCACACAAAAGAGAACACGAAGGTACTGTTCAGCAGCTGCAAATGTTTTCTACATGTTTCTAGTCAATTCTTTTGAAAATTATTTTTTGTTGAGTGTGCTACTTTGTGTAGTTAATAATTTAAAATTAATACTCTTTGGATTTATATCAAAGAAATTAAGTATTTATTTAAAATTAGTGAATTTGAGAACCAGAAAGAGCCCAAGGGATTTCTAGTCCAGTGGCTTCCATCCTTTCTTTTATTGTATTGGCCCCCATGTAGTTTTTTTTTAAACAAAAACCTTTATTTTATTTATTTATTTATGTGGTGCTGAGGATTGAACCCAGTGCCTCACACATGCAAAGCAAGCACTGAACCACTGAGCTATAAACTTAGCTCCATTTTTTTTTTTTTTTAAATTTTGAGACAGGGTCTCACTGAATTGCTGAGGCCAGCCTTGAAGTTGTGATCCTCCTGCCTCAGCCTTCTGAGTTGCTGAGATTACAGGTGTGTGCCACTGTGCCTGGTGACAAGACATTCTAATATTTAACAGCTTTTCACCTCAAACCCAGTTACCCACCTTGAGAGTAGTTTCACCCCTTCTGAGAATACATTTTTTCTACTCCAAAGCTCCTTATCAGAGATGAAACCCAAGGAGGTTGAATGACTTACACAGTCACTCAGATGATTATATTTATGAAATTGAACCTGTCAAGTTTGATATCTTTGGGCAAATTAATTCTCTGTCTTACTAGTACAAACGATGAAAAACTCTTCAAGAAATTTGATTTCTATGACACAGTTTAAGTTCATAAAACATTTTCAAACTACTAGACTAGGTTAGAAAGTAAAGTTATTAGGTGTTTGTACAAAGTATACTAAAAGAAGTGTCTGTTCTGCTTTCTGTGATCTTTTGGGTGTGTAACAATCCTACTGAAGCTGGAAGCAGCTGCCTGTGGGTGGATGGGGGAAAGGCTGGTCTGTGAGTGCTGAAGTGTCCTGCCCTGGTGAGCGGCCGAGCCTTGCCTCGTGTTCTTCACAAGGCCAAGAACCTCCAGATTTCCATAGTTGATAATGACTGAGGGTTACCATGCACAGAACTGGGTGTGAGCATTCTAAGTTTTGTGAGAGATAAAAGTGACTTGTTGTTAATGGTGATATCTGTTAATAACCTAGTTTTTTGATATTTTAAGGGAATGTAATTAACTGTTTTTGCTTAGGTTTTTATTCACAATCCTCACACACGGAGCCAGCATTTAAGTGCATCCAGAGTCCTCCAGAGCCCCCTGGAGTCTGATGTTTCTCTTCTCAACATTAACCAGGAGGTCAGCTGCCTGACTGCAGGAAAGCTGAACCCTGAGCTTGGCTGCGATGTCCTTTTGGTGGGGACACAGACGAATCTTTTGGCTTACGATGTCTATAATAATTCAGATTTGTTCTACAAAGAGGCAAGTATACCCTTTATAACCATAAAATTCCATTACCCAATGCCCAACAGTTTTTATGCTTGAAGGAGATCACGTGTTTATTTTAGTTTGCTTATTTTGTGGCTGTTATAGTGGAGTTAAACAACACAGGGAGTTTTCTACTTACATCTTTCTGTACTTGGAACTTATTTGGTCATGGTTGGAATCACTTGGTGACACCCACCTGGTCTCTAGAGGTTCATCTGTGACAGCACCATCTTTCAATACCTATTGAGAATTCAGCCAGGAGTGGAAGCCAGCAAGCAGGTCTCCTGGTGGCCTTGAGTTGCAGTTTAGTACAGTAGTTTGTAGGAGAAACCCTGACTGTAGTCTGCCATCTACAGGCTGCTACTACTTCAATACCCAAAATAACTCATATTTGTTATAGGAAGTATAGGGAAACAAAAAGGAAAAAAAATCCCCATAGTTTATTGACTCAGAAGTAACATTTAGTTCTTTGTTTATCCAGGTATTTTTGTTTAGTATATGTAAGTACACCTTTTTTTTTTTTTTTTTAACAAAATGGGATCATACTATATACATGCAACCTTTTACTTTATTTTTTCCTATAATAGCTTTATTAAAATATAATTCACTCACCAGATAATTTACCTATTTAATAGGTATAATTAATTGGTTTTTAGTTTATTCTGAGTTTAACATCCATCACCACAATCAGTTTTCATCCGGTGATTCAACCCAGGCCTTGCACATGCTAAGCAAGTGCTCTACCACTGTACTAGATCCTAACCCCTTTTTTATAGCTTTAAATTTTTTTTTGTTTTTTTAGTTGTAGTTAGACACAATACCTTTATGTTATTTATTTTTATGTGTTGCTGAGGATTGAACCCAGTGCCTCGCACAAATTAGGTGAGTGCTCTACTGCTGAGCCACAACCCCTGCTTCTTAACCTCTTTTTTAAATTTTATTTTGAGACAAGGTCTTGCTCAGTCAGGCTGGCCTTAAACTTAACAATCCTCCTGCCTCAGACTCCCGAGTAGATGAGATTACACGTGTGTGCTACCATGCTCAGCAATTTTAAACATTTTTTATTACTTCCAAAAGAAACAAACCCCATACCCATTAGTAGGTATTCCCATTTTCCTTTGACTTGCTAACCTTAGGCAACCAGTAATGTTTTCTGACTCTGGAAATTTATGTATTCTACACATTTCATAAATATGGAATCATATAAGATGTGGTCTTTTGTGACTGGCCTATTTTTCTTAGTATGTTGTTTTCCAGGTTGATACATGTTGTAGCATCTACCAGTACTTCATTCCTTTTTATGGAAGAATAATTTTTCATTGTATGTATATGCCACATTTTATCCATTCATGAGTTAATGGGCATGTCAATTCCTGGCTATCTAGTCTTTTCTTTTATAATTTATTAGGAACATCTAATACTGTAAGGTCTACATATCATTCTTTTTGATTACTATAGGTCTATATATCATTCTTTTTGATTTTATAGTATTTCATTATGTTAATATATATAATTTATTTTACCTGAAATTTATTACTGAACATTTATGTTATTTTCATTGTTTATCTGTTATAAATATTACTAAGATAAGCATATATATTGTCACTTTTCTGATTATTTCCTAAGGATAAGTTCCTAGAAATGCAAATGCCTTTTTTATATTTTTTAAGGAGATAAGGTGTACATATAGTGAAATGCATAATCCTTAAGTTCAATGAATTTTGATCCCTATAACCAACATCCCTGATAAAAATGTAGAACATTTCTGTCACTTAGAAGATTGTTGTGTCTTACAGGGAAATGGATGGCATTAGAGCAGATTATGCTAAGTGAAGCTAGCCAATCCCTAAAAAACAAATGCCAAATGTCTTCTTTGATATAAGGAAAGTAACTAAGAACAGAGTAGGGACGAAGAACAGGAGAAGAAGATTAACATTTAACAGGGATGAGAGGTGGGAGGGAAAGGGAGAGAGAAGGTAAATTGCACGGTAATGGAAGGAGACCCTCAGGGTTATACAGTGGAGGGGGTAGAGAGAGAGGAGGGGAGGGGAGGGGAGAGGTGGGGAGGGGGGAGGGTGGATGATGGGAAAGGCAGCGGAGCACAACAGACACTAGTATGGCAATTTGTAAATCATTGGATGTGTAACTGATGTGAATTTGCAATCTGTGTATGGGGTGAAGGTGGGAGTTCATAACCCACTAGAATCAAAGTGTGGAATATGATATGTCAAGAAATTTGTAATGTTTTGAACAACCCACAATAAAAAATTAAAAAAAAAAAAAAAAAAAAAAAAGATTGTTGTGTCTTATTCCAGCCAATTCCTGTTCCTCATAGACAATCACTGTTCTGATATCTGTTGGCTTAGACTTTCCTGTTCTGAACTTCATACACATGGAATCATGTAGAATGTACACTGGTCTCTGGCTTCTTTCACTCAACATACCTGCGAGAGTTGTCCATTGGCTTACCTGATTGTGGAGACTAGCAAGTCCAAAATCTGCAGGGTGGGCCAGCAGGCTAGAGATCCAGAAAAGAGTAGATGTTGAAGCCCAAGTCTGAAGGCTGTCCGTGGGCAGAATCCTTTCTTTCTTGGAGGAGGTCAGCCTTTTTTCTACTATTCTTTCAGTTGAATGGAGGAGGCCCGCCCCCATTATGGAGACTGACCAGCTTTATTCAGTCTACTGATTTAAATGTTAATCTTCTCTTAAAAAAACCCCTCACAGCAATATCTGGAATACTGTCTAACCAAACATTTGGGTACTGTGGCCTACAGATGTTGATGCATAAAATTATTATCACAAGGACTCAGCTTATAGTTGAAGAATCAGAACAAATTAAAGATATAAATGAAAAAAAGAAGAAGAAACACAATTGCTGAATTAAAAACCTATTTTAATGAGATTTTTTAGAGATTGTTAAATTACTTTCTAGAAAGGCTACTATTTTTCTACCCTGCCCTTAGAATATAAGAATATGTATTTTAATATATTCTAATATATAGAATGTATATTTATATTATATATTGATATTATATATATTCTAATATATTCTAATCAACAATGGATATTATTGTTCTTTTTCATCATTTCATCAAAGAAAGTGAAAAAGGATATATTGAACATTTTTCATGTTGGTTATTAGTATTTTTTTCTAGTGAATTTCTTTTTTTTTTGACTTAGGTGTTTACTATTTTCTTATTTGCCTTTTGTTAAAAAACAAAACTTTAAATATAAATAATTTAAAAATAAATCTTATATGTTACAGTTAATTTTTTTCCAGCTCATTGCTTATCTTTTAACTTTTTCTCCCCCTTTGCTAACTTGCCATTTAACAGTTTTAATTTCTTATGATGTCTTTCTTTATAACCAGTCTCTTCTTTATGTTTTTTCTGCTTAGTTTTAACATAAGTAAGGATTATTTTCCTGTGCAATAAACAGTATTTACAAAGTTGTCTTTGATTCTTCCATAGATAAGGTATGTTTATGTAATATATTCAAGAATTCTGGAGAGTTGGACTAGAGGGGTTTCTTTTTTTATTATTATTTATACTTTCTAGTTACTTTAAAATGAGAAAGACTACTAGTAAGAGAATTGGGCAATAGTATTAAAAATATTTCCATCCAAAATGGTAAAATAAATTACAAAATTTGGATATTTAAAAGCATTGATCCTCTAGAGAATTTGTGCTCTAGAACTTGGTGATCCTGGGGAGCCCTGGATTATTGTAGTGTCTTATGGTGTGAGAGCAGGGCTCTGAATTGACCTTGGCTCTCTGCTCATCCTTGCAGAAGCCACAGTGGCTGCCTAGTCAGGAGACCATGTGGATTCTCCCAAGTGATGACAAAGGAATTTGAATATTTGAATAAAAACACAGGTGTATGTTACCTCCAATGTGCCTGCACATCACTGTATTTGAGATTATGTGTCTTGTCTTCTTAGGTAGCAGATGGGGCAAATGCCATTGTACTGGGGACACTGGGAGATATTTCCTCTCCTCTTGCCATTATTGGTGGAAATTGTGCTCTGCAGGGTTTTGACCATGAAGGAAATGATCTCTTTTGGACGGTATGAAGAACTTAACATTCTTTTTGGCATTTTTACTTTCAATTTTATTTAACCATTGACTGTACTAAATAATAAAACATAAAATAGAACAAAATTTGTAATGTTTCACAAACATTAAAAAAGGGTGGTTTGTATAATCCTCCCCTTCATATTGCTAGTATATTTTGATTGAATTTTTAATAAGATGATTTAATGATTTTTGGTTTCATTTTTAGGTTACTGGAGACAATGTTCATTCCTTGGCCTTGTGTGACTTTGATGGTGATGGAAAGAAAGAGGTATGTGAGGGAGAAGATGATACTTTGTATGTTGAGCTAAATAAGTTGCCCCTGATGGTGACATTAGTGTGGAGAGAAGTCTTAGTTTTTCATGCCTGATTTTGGAGCTCTGTTACCTAAATGATGAACTTACTGGCCTCATTGGTCTTTTTCCTCTCTTTTGAACAATAAATCACTTGTCAACTAGATTGAACAGTACATCTAATACAAAGGTCATGGCAATTGATCAAGGAAGTTTTAAAAACACAGGAGAGAGAAGGCAGAACAGTTAGAGGGGAATCTGTCATATTTAAAATCTTGTAAATTGCTTCTGATGTTCTGAAATCATATTAATAAGTAGTTTTCAATTTTGGCCCACTTTTTCAGTAATATAAAAGTTTTAGAGATTGTTTCTTAGCTTTTTAAATTATTCTAATAATTACTCAAAATTAGCTTCTCGAGCAGTCAGTGCATGTGAAGGGCTATTTCAGGCACTAACTTAGTCCTCTTGTCCATGGACACTTGGCTCTTGTGTTTGAAACAGGGTCTCCCTCTGCAAGCAGGGAAGGTTGCTGAACTAGGGAACATTTTGAAGTACAGGGTAAAAGAACATGTCTGGCAAGATGTGCCTCCCACATGGAAAGATAAAATGTAGAGTAGCTACTTTTTCTTCACTGAGTCTGTTGACCCTCAACCCTGCCATTAGAGAGGATCTTCTTGAGCATTAGATTATTGGAGGATTGGGACTCTTGGATGGTGGTAGCAGCAAAGTAATATGCAATCTTTGTTTCATTTATGGGAATTTTGCTGTGTTCATTTCCTGAACTAAATGTATATGGTTTCCCCTCACTTTAGCTTCTTGTTGGATCTGAGGATTTTGATATCCGAGTTTTTAAAGAAGATGAGATTGTGGCAGAAATGACAGAAACAGAGGTAAGAAGTACCACCTTAGCCTTGGGCAGATCAAGCAACAAACCTAACATCAGATGAGGGTGCCAGGGCATCTTTTTACAGTCCAGAGGGTTTTAGGATAAAAACTTATTTAATCATACTATATGCTTTATATAATCACAGTTATTAAAATGTAAACTGATAGCTATGGATAGAGAAGAAACGAAGGAGAGAAATTAGTGCTACAAGTAGTGGTGTGGACAGGTGTGTCTGTGCAAGGCTCCTGTGGTATAAATATGTGCTTTTCCAGAAGGAGGGTCCTTACTGTTCATTAGGCTCTTGAATGGACTCATAACCTCCCACCCCCTAGAGCCACCCCAAACAGCTGGAGAGTCACTGGCCTGAAGGTGCCGTGTCCTCCATTTTTGTATCTCTTTCATTCTAATTTACAGTTAATCTTTTCCCATTGGTAGAAGTCATTCAGTTTTGCTTTCTTTAGATTTCTGTTGTTTGTCAATACTGGATGTGAGGAGAGTGTAATTCTTTGAAACACTTTTCAAGGAGAGGAGACCTTGAAATAGAGCTAGAGATTAGCAGGAACTTGTTGCCCCTCAAGTCCACAAAAGAAAGAGGCAAATGAACTAAAGAAATACTAAAGGATCTATGAAATCTGGGGCTGAATTTATGAAAATATGGACTTTATAAAATTGTTCATCTGTATAGCCAATTTCCTCTCCTCTTGGTTTGGTTTTGCTTGCCATTCAAATATCTTTTCCCAGATCAGCAAAATCATGATTCATTTGGCAGTTGAACAGTGCTGAGTATTGCCAGGAGAATGCCTTGAGCTAAATAATTCTGGATTCCTACACAGTACTTCGTATTCAGAGTTAAGTGGAGTGGGTGGTTTTGTAGAAAAGCTGTAGGTGTAAAGGAAATTACATAACTATTCTCTGCTTTATACAATTTATTTCTTAATATCTCTTGTATTAGGGCCAGAATTAGAAAATAGATCTGCAGGATCATAGATATCATTAGTCTTTGGATTTAACTTGAAAGTATAATTTTGTTTAGTATCTAAAATTTTATCCTTTTAAGGATGTTAAATCCTTGTTGTAGTCCTGTAACTATTTCTGTATAATATATACGTTCTGTATATTGTTACATACTATACAAACCCACTTACTCCGATTTTCAGTTTTGAAAGGATTATACTTATTTTACTGCAAGCAAACAATTATGTCATAGAAAGAAAAGTGTAAATGTAAAAATTAGTCAATTGTAGATTAGAATTATTTTTAAAATTTAGACTATAGTAGTAACTATTTGTACTGGGGTTGTGGGTCAGTGGTAGAGTGCTCGCCTAGCATGCCTGAGGCACTGGGTTCATTCCTCAGTACCACATAAAAATAAAATAAAGTTATTATATCCACCTACTTGTGATTTGCCTTAGCTTCCCAAGTAGCTTGGATTACATGTGTGCACACTACCACACCTGGCTCATATTCTAGTTCTTGTGTACTTGAAGTATATATTCCTTTTGGGACAAGGTCTTTCTAAGTTTCTTAGACCTCACTAAGTTGCTGAGGCTGGCTTTGAATTTGGGATCCTCCTGCCTCAGCCTCCTGAGTCTCTGGGATTACAGGTGTGCACCACTGCACCCAGTGGCATATAGTTTCAAAAACTATACTTCTTATTAAATTGAACCTTAACAAAAAGATGTGGTTTATGTGTTATTTTTTGCAGATAATCACTTCTCTGTGTCCCATGTATGGCAGTCGATTTGGTTATGCCCTTTCCAATGGCACAGTTGGAGTTTATGACAAAACAGCTCGATACTGGAGAATAAAAGTAAAGCCAGCTTCTGCTATTCATGCACTTTATATTTCAGTATCAGAGACTTCTGTACTAATTATTGAAATTCCCTTTCAGTCCAAAAATCATGCCATGAGTATTCATGCTTTTGACCTTAATTCTGATGGAGTGTGTGAACTGATAACCGGTTGGTCGAATGGGAAGGTGAGTGTAAATTAGCGGTTTGTGTGTAGTTCTAAGTAATAACGTTGTGATAAGGGCTGCAGACCTAGAATTGTAACACGGAAACAACCCTGACTTCCTTGGCTGGGTTTTCAGATTTAACCTCCCAATCTTTCCACACTTTTCTTCCTGCTACATAGTGACTATCCTTTTAGCCTTGTAAGCCCTGCTTGAGAAAAATCTCCTGGGGGGTTCTTTCTAAATCTCTTCTTTGAAAGAAGGAAAAGCCATCAATCAGGTTGCCTGTAGGTATAGGCCAGTTGGGGGGGTGGGGTTAATCACATAGTAATAATGAACTGTCTGAATAGCTCTTTCCTAATAAATCTTTAACACTGACTGAAAACTTAGAATTAATG